TATATGTGTATTAATTTATGATAATTAAACTTGACATTTATTTCAGCTGAGAGTCTAGAGGTTTAGGACATAGGCCATGCCTGTCATTTGCTTTCCTTGCAGTGTCAGGGCATTCTCAAAGGACTGCTAAAAAAAATCTGAGAAGTCCCCAGATGATCAAAGGGTCAGAAGAACATTTTTTTTCTTTGAAATACTGCATATTTACCCCATTTAGCATTTTGTAATCTTTTAAATCAATCTAAGGAGGAAAAAAAACAGCTGCATATTCACTTTGGTGGCACATTAGATGATACACTTAATGCCACTCATATTAAATATAAGGGTACAGCTGGTTAGCTTAGCTTAGCACAAACACTGCAAGCAAGTGTCAACAGCTAGCCTGGCTCTGTGCAAAGGCTAAATATATATATCTTCAGAGGTGATGGCAGGTGAAATTTGTTACCTTTGGACAGGCTTGCAGTTCCCATCAATTCCAGACTTTATATTAAGCTAAGCTAACTGTAGTTTCAGATTTACCAAGAATGGTGTCAATTTTGTCACTGAACTCTCCACCAGAGAGTGAAAACATGTATTTCCTCAAATTTATTTTGTCAGTTTAAAAGACAAGGTAAACATTGCTCTCTCTATTTTTTGCTAATGAACAATCATGTAATGTTAAAAAAAAAGATGCAGTGGAATCAGGTTCAAGAGGATAAGCACTAGAGCATCCACCCAGACATCCCATCACAGCTATCATCTGCTGAATAGATGACTTAACAGTCTGTAAACATGATGAAAAAAGCATGTACTGCAGTTACCCAGAGTCCTCTTTTATGAAGGTTGACTCCTCTCTGTAAAAAGACATCTATCTTGTCAATGTGTCTTTGGGTCTGTGTCATAGAGACTGTGTGAGCTATTCCCTGCTCCACATTCCTCTGTCCAGCCTGGACTTTCCCACAGAACCCTAAACCCTGTGAATGAGAGTAGGCCTTTGTTTCAGGCATTTTTCATCCTGATCCCAGCAACTTCCCCATGGTGGAATGCAACAGGAATGACGGCACCAGCTACCTGGCATCAGAGGGTTTTTGTACGGAAATAGGAGAGGCTAAAGGAGAGAGCAGGTCAAAGAGGTCTGACAACAGAGAGCTCACTTCTCAAGGTGCCCAGCCCATATTACACAGTGAGCAAAGAGCACAACCCAAGCTGGGTCTCATAAACATGGCAAGGAGAAGTGAAAGAAATGAAACTGTTTGCATCTAGGCCAGTTTCGCTATGCGCTCTCTCACTGTCACCAGTTTTTTCTCCTATTGTACAATTCACGAACTAGAATGCTGGAAAAGATGCATCTGCAGCAGCTGACAGGTTGTTGTGAGCTTATCACTAGCTCAGCGCTGGAATGGTAAGGCAGCGGTTAGCCTCAAGGTGCTATTCCATTCATTCCTATTTGCTGAAACACCAACATAAAAAGATTTTAATTTGAGGGATGACATGTGAAGATGAGGATTTATTATGACACTGTGCTATCTGATAATGTTTAGAAGAGTTTTTTTTTACCTCAACAAAATTCTTTCTTTTTATAT